AAAAATCGAGTTTCCAGATGGGATTTGAACCCACGACCCTCCGTGATCTAGTCGGATGCTCTAACCACTGAGCTACAGGAGACTCTATGGTGAGCAAGGGTCAATTAGTGGGTATTGACTGGAACCGCATCACGCGGCTACACAGCCAAACATCAGCTAGCGCATAGAAGCTCACTAACAGCATCACGCTGTCACATTAAAGCATCACATGCATTAGAGCATCACATGCATTAAAGCATCACATGCATTAAAGCATCACATGCATTAAAGCATCACATGCATTAAAGCATCACATGCATTAAAGCATCACATGCATTAAAGCATCACATGCATTAAAGCATCACATGCATTAAAGCATCACATGCATTAAAGCATCACATGCAGCCAACCAGCCTCCAAAGTGAGCATGTAAAGATGAAATAAACAATTTTTAAAAATCGAGTTTCCAGATGGGATTTGAACCCACGACCCTCCGTGATCTAGTCGGATGCTCTAACCACTGAGCTACAGGAGACTCTATGGTGAGCAAGGGTCAATTAGTGGGTATTGACTGGAACCGCATCACGCGGCTACACAGCCAAACATCAGCTAGCGCATAGAAGCTCACTAACAGCATCACGCTGTCACATTAAAGCATCACATGCATTAAAGCATCACATGCATTAAAGCATCACATGCATTAAAGCATCACATGCAGCCAACCAGCCTCCAAAGTGAGCATGTAAAGATGAAATAAACAATTTTTAAAAATCGAGTTTCCATCTGGAAACTCAATTTTTAAAAATTGTTTATTTCATCTTTACTGGTGATGATTTCTCTAAAAAATTACCCTTTACCTCACCAAAAGCTATGGAAATGTGAGATACCTTTAACACTGCTTTTCCAACATCAGGTCCCATTTTTTCGTCCACTATCAAAATAACTATTCCTCTGTCATCAATGCCACGCCTTCCTGCTCGGCCACTCATTTGAATATACTCTCCTGATGTGATCTGAAAAATCAGAGTTAATCATAGCACTGAGTATCTAAACATGGTATGTATCACTGAGGTTGAATATAATTCGAGCAAATGTAAAACAGTTTGTGCAGCAGTTAAACTGTTATGATGTGGGAGGCCCCAGGGAGATTTGCAGGGGCACTGCCATTGCTTTTGCTGTATTTGTGGCCAAGAAAACTGCCACTCTACCCTGTTGCTACTTTTTCCATACCAACCCTCCAATACTGTTGACAACAATCCAGGAAAAAAAAAATAATAGAGACATTACCATAGAGATCAAAGTATTCAGAATAGAGGGGGGCTTTCGAATTTTCAGTTTTGCAGTTTTGACTGTTTTTAGTTTGGTTTTTCAGTTTTTGGGCCAAAAAGGTTCAGTTTTTCAGTTTTGATGTTCAGAGCGGTTTGCGGATTTTACGTGTTTTTGCATTTAGTTTTCGGTTTTCACTAAAACTCTGATGCAGTTTTCAGTTTTTCCTTTTTGACCTCTTTAAAGGTGAAAATGTTGTGGTTTTGTCAGGTTTGCACGTGGTTTTCAGTTTTACTGCCTTTTTTTGTCTGTTTTTCGGTTTTGGAGGTTTTTTTCTCCAGTTTTGCGGTTTCCCAGAGACCCCAATGCCACCATCAGAAAAGAGTGCCAATTTCATTCTCAATATCTTAACTCTCAAATTTTCTCTTCCCAATTGTGCACCATTGAAAAGAGGCAAGGTGTACTGTAATGTGCTGCAGTAAATTTAAATGTCATTTCTCTATACTTTCATTCTTTCTACATGAATATCAAGTGTTAACTGATTTTTCTTTGGATTATAAGTTAGAGTTTAATTGAGCTTGAAAAGTCAGCTTATTGCATATAATTGATCTCCCTTCCCAGGATACTCCAACAGCCTTAAAGCTGTGTTACATTTAATGCAATTTACAACATCTACTCACAAATCTGAAGTCTTTTCCATCAAACTTTCGGGCATTTGTGAATACAACAGTTCTTGCAGGCATGTTAAGACCAAGAGCAAATGTTTCTGTGGCAAAAAGAGCCTGAAAAGAACAATCAACAACAACAACATCTCAGCAAAATTACATGTAATAATTATCATTATTATAACTACAATTCTGTATGTTCACAATGTAAATTTCTTAACTGTTTACATTTATTTCAATGAGATATTTTCTGATTCCACATTTAATCTACCCAGATTCATCCTCCAATTATAATAACTAGGCTGCACATTACTTGGAAATTTCTCTAAATTAAGAAAAAATGGATCCATACGTGTATTTGATGCTCTCTTTCAATTCATATACTTTGGTAGACAAGGCAGTAGATTAGAAGCCAATTGAGAATAACTGGGACGGACTGGGTTGTTAAACAACCTGCCAGAAAGGAAAACCAAAATCAGAACACTTACCTTAATTAACCCTTCCGAGAAGAGAATTTCAATGGTCTCCTTTAAAATTGGAAGAAGTCCAGAGTGATGAATGCCAATACCACGCTTCAGCAGGGGAAGCACATGTTCTACCTAAAATTTGAAGTAATTCTCTAATTTAGACTGACATTGACGTAATTTATATCCTGTCCAGGGAATTGCTCCAAGAGCAGCTAAACTGGGAAATGTATACACTATCTACTGCGCTGTCTTGCAAATTAAAGAAATTTCATGATAATGCTGGTTTGTAAGGGAAAAAATGATTTTACCTGAGGAAGAGTTTTGTCCTCATCTGATAAACAGTCAATAGCATTGTTGAACACCTCTTCCACCAACTTCTTCTCTTGACCTAGAAAAAGAAATGAGCTACAGGTATAACTTCCATTGAAAAACAACTTTCAGTCATCACACTGCAGGAACACTGCAGGTGCACCTCCCAGAATATTGCTGTACCCCTGGTTAGAGAAAGGCACTGCAATATGCTTAAACCTTTTTAAACCAAGTACTCTTTAGCAATCCTCCCATTCTCTGCCACACAATTCTCATGGTTTTAGTTTGGAGAATAAGGAATTGGATCAACTAATAATCCCTTAATTGATATTTTTCTTTATTCTCATCACTTGTCTGCTTGATAGTGCACTGATATTGTAAGGAGAAATTCAGTCTTCGTCACTCTTGATAGTTAAAGGGTTAAGTATCTGACCCAGGATTAGACTCAGACTTTTTAATCTGATGTCCAACATGCAAGCTAGTACTCCCAACCCCCTCCCCCTCAGTAAGCTACCATACATGTATCTTGAAGTTCATAGAATACAATATTTTTCATTATCTCACCTGAATTAAAGTCCAGTTTAGACATCTGCAAAGCATATGCCTCACATTCTTTCTTGCTAAAGCTAAAGATAATCACAGGCTGGAAATTCCTCTCCATGATCATTTTGACAATTTTGAAACAGTTTGAAGGACCTGAAATAAATCCCAAAAGTTAGCAACTCTGCAATTTTCAATCTCCCTTGACTATTAATACTGATTCAGAGAAAAACAAAAAGACATTTGATCAGGTATGTTTATTATTTGTCAAGAAATGTTTGTTGCTTGCCTTGTGCTTTGTATATCATAATATTATAATTATTATAGGGTCCTTATAGTTTTTTTATTGTATTTATATAAATAATTATGTTGTAGGTCAATTTGTTCTTTAGGTAAATTTGTTTCAAACTAAGTTAATTTGATCTCAACCTAGGTCAGTTGCTGATGTCTGTCTGTCTGGTTTTTTTTTGGCTGTGTTGAAATGTCTGGAACCTGAGGTGAATAATTGTTTTAGTATAATTTCAGGTTCCAGACATTTCAACACAGCCAAAAAAAAAAAAAACAGACAGACATCAGCAACTGACCTAAGTTGAGATTGAAATAACCTAGTTTGAAACAAATTTACCTGAAGAACAAATTGACCTACAACATTTATATAAATTATATATATATTTACATATATTAGTGATTGTAAGCTAGACATAATTTTTCAGATTCAAACTTTGTGCTACGGACTTGTGCAGCTGACGTAACTTCCGATTTAGTTTTATTTAGAGTTGAGGTTAACCCTGCTCGATGTGATAGATTACAGTCATCAATAGCTTTCCCGTTTCTTCCATTTTCACTCCGTCAGAGGAAACATCTGTAAGTTCAACCATCATTTATTTTATCATTTCATTTGATTTCCTTTCAAATTATTATAATTGATTGCTTTCAGTCAAACCATACTTAATTAAAGAAGATTCAAAACTGACGACTGTACGTGTTCAGGGTTTTCCCTTGACAACAAAGTGGGTGTTTCGTGGACAGTGAAATCTTGGTTAGGTGCTCACATAATTCAGCGTATGGCTGCTATGATTTTAGTCAATAAACTATCCATCTATCTATCTATCTTTATTTGAGCAAACAAAATTTAGCGACTTCAAAGTCAGTGGTGAGTAGATCAATTATCATCAAGTTAATGAGTTGACAGCCATTGGGGAATCAAATGGTGTAAGATGAAAAACAAAATGCACTTATTTAACAATTTACAAATCAGCTGATACTATCTGTGATTCATAAAATTGTCCAGACACACACACACACACACACACACACACCCACACCCACACCCCCACACCCAC